CCCCCCCAACTGACAACGCATATTTCTCAGGTACAAAACCAAAACCCGGCATTATGGCACTTGGGCGAGTCTGGATGTGGAAGGCCGTTTGGAAAAGCGATTAATAATGTACTGAACCTCGCTTCTTTAATCCCCGTTTCTCCCGCTTTACTACCAATCAGACGACGCGTTTCGGACTCGCGTTCCCTGATGACGTTGGGACTTTTCAGGTAATGGAAATATCAACTTCACCGTTACTTCATCTTTAAAGGAAACAAGTGATGGGATGAACTCCTGGTCTAGAATTCCCGTGATATCTCTCTTCATTATTATTCTGCTTACTCCATGAGTCCCCAGAGGTGACCACACTTACTATCACTACATCTGATAAGAGTTGAGACGACAACGACAACTAACACTAGGTCAACACGGGTTGCCGTCATGGCCCTCGAAACAGACGGCCTCCGTCGTCACAACGGCGACATTGACCAAAACGATGTCAGCTCATCACCAACTCTCACGGCTTCAGCGGCGGAAACCACCCCCTCCTCAACTCCGAGACAGCAAGCTCTTACACCATCGGCAATGAACCACCATCATCACTACCCCAAGACGAGAAACCCATTGGCTTTGGCCGGGGTCTTTCCATTGCCCTGAGCATGTGGGCTCTCATCTTCCTCCAAGGTAAGCCTCCCATCTTCACATATCCTCCTCCTTCACAAGCCCAAGAACTAACACCCCCAAAGCAAGCAACATGTCCGGCATCTCCACCATCCAATCCACCATCGCCACCGACCTCGACGCCTACGACTACGCCATGTGGTTCACCGGCGTCTACCTAATCACCTCCTCCTCCGTCGCCCCCTTAATCGGTCGGTTATCCACCATCTTCACCCCCGGGCTTATGATCCTCATCTCCTCCTTCTTTTTTTCGGCCGGCGCCCTCGTCACCTCCCAGTCCCACACCCTCTCAGTCTTCATGTTCGGCCGAGTCCTCGTGGGCATAGGAGGTGGTGGCATCATGACTTTAGCCCTGATCCTCGTCATCCAGCTGACCAGCAAGCGCCGCCGGGGTGTCTGGATCGGCCTGACTAACGCCGGCTTCACAATCGGCATGTCGACCGGAGCCGTCGTCTTCGGCGCTTTATTGCCTGTCATCGGCTGGCGCGCGCTCTTCTGGATGCAGGCGCCCCTAGGTCTGCTAGGAGGGTTGGGGGTGTACGCTAGTATCCCGTCCTTCGTCATGTCTTCCGGCGCTCCCTTGACCCCGGGGGATGCGGAGAAGACGAACCTGCAAAAACTGAAAGGAATCGACTACGCCGGCGCCATCACCCTCACCACCACCATCGTACTGCTGCTTTACTCCCTCTCCGCCGGCCGCACAGGAATCCACTACATCCCGCTTCTTTCGTCGTTCCTCACCTTCTCCCTTTTTCTCCTAATCGAGTCCTATTATGCATCAGACCCCATCATCCCCCTCCACATCCTGCGCTCGCGCGGCATTTTGTTGAGCTGCCTCTCGCAGTTGGGATTCATGTCCGCCCGCTGGTCCGTCCTCTTCTACGCGCCCATCTTTGCCCTGGCCGTGCACGGCGCCTCGCCCGCCTTAGCGGGGTCCATCCTCATCCCGACGAACCTCGGTTTCGGCACCGGCGGCCTGCTGGTAGGCTGGCTGCACATGACGCACACTGCCGACCACACCAGCAAAGGCTACTGGTTCCCTTCCTTACTGTCCATGAGCATCTTTGGACTGGCGATTATGGCGATGGGGTTCGTAAGTAACGCTTACACCCCATTAAGCGCGTACGTAGCAGTGATATTCGTCAACGGCCTGGCCACGGGGGCAGCGGTGAACTATACTATGGCGCATCTGCTGCATTTGAGCCATGTGCGGGAACACTTTATCGTTACGGGCTTGCTGGCTACGTTCCGGGGGTTTGCGGGCAGTTTTGGGACGGCTATCGGGGGCGGGATATTTGGACGGGAACTGAGGGCTTCGCTTTATAAAGGGTTTGAGAGGCTGGGTTGGGAAGAAGGGATGCCGAGGGAGAGGATGGAGAAGTTGGTTACGGTTTTGGTGGGCAGTCCGGCGAGGGTGCATGAGAGGGGGTTTTTGACGGTGGAAGAGAGGGTGGTGGCTGTTGGGGGATATGAGAATGCTCTAAGGACGCTTTATTTGAGCGCGGCGGTGCTGTGTGTGGTTGTGTTGGTGGTGCAGGCGGGCACGGGGTGGACGGCGGGGGGAGTCAGTCCGGAGGAGGAGAGGGAGATTGAGGAGGCGATTGTGGAACATGATGGGAGGATGGAGGCTTGAGCTTGTGCTTGTGCTACTGGGACTGGCAGCGATGTCTGATCTAATCTGGTCTCTGATGAGTCCTGTCTATCTTTCTGTTGGGTCTTTTTATGAAAGGTTGGATAGAAAGGGGGGCAACCTAAAGCTGAAAAGAAACTTTCTTTCCGTTGTAGACACTAGACATAATACCTGACTTTTGGTATTCCGTTCAACGACCTATGTCCTAAACATAAAAACCGCAGCATACCAAGCCAACTATAACCATAAAGCGCCAATACGCCCAATATCCATCAATCCCTGAACCCCCCTTCACGTGGTATACGAAAACCTTTCCCTATTCACCATGGTATGTATGTTATACTCCAAACAATCCCAACCTTAACCCCCCCACCCCCCACCCAACGCAACCGCAACCATATCCCCACTCAACACTCCTACTTGTCAGGTCTTAAAAGAAAGAAGAAAGCCTGACGAGTAGGAGTAGTCTAATAACAAGCAACTTCGTTCCTCTACGTTACTCAAACTCCCCCTTCCCAAAAACCCCCCTAACACTCTCCCCCCTCCCTTCAACCCCCCTCCACTTTCTCGCCTCCCTCCTCTTCTCCGCCTCCGCCACTTTTGCTCTCCTTTCATTCTCTCTTGCAAAGTAATTGATCCCCGACATCTTGCCCGCCGTCCGTTTAATCTTGACATCTTCACCGAACCCACTTGCCCCTGACGCTTTGCTGTTGGTGTAGGGGTTTGTTGTTGTTGATACTGAGATTGGTTGGCCTGCAGTATTGGTGGTGGTGCTGGCCCGGGACGCAGAGGTAGAGGCGGATGCGGAGATGGCGGAAGAGTTGGTTGTTGCGCGCCGTAAGAGGGCGGGGACTTTGAATGCTGATTGAGACAAAGAGGAGGAGGAGGCGGCTGTGAAGGCGAGTTTGGATTGGTTTGTGACGGAAGAGGTGGAATTGGAGGAGGAGGAGTTGCGCTTGAGGGAGATGCGGTCTACGATTGCTACAGAGCCGGTGCGGCGGGCGTTGCTGGTCGTGGCTGTGGTAATTGGTTTCGAGAATGACTGGTTCCGAGCGGGCTCCTTGCCGGGAGTAGCGGGGATGCTGTCCTCTTCCTCTTCTTCCTCGTCGTCAGAGGCGAGGACCGTAGCGGGTATGACAGACGACGTATGTGGTTCATCTAGAAGGTTAGACAAACTCTCGCGGATTTCGCCCAGGTTAGCCGGCTTGCGGCCGGTCTTTGTCCGGCGGGGGTTCGCGGAAGTTGTCGTCTGTGGCTGTGGCTGGGTAGCCGGGATGGTTTTGTCTTTACTAGAGGATGACCGGGAGTCTTCTTGTGTCTCTGGGATGACTGAGGATGGCTTGTCCGCAGGAGGGCCAAAGAGGAAATCCATCTCATCATCGCTGCCGCGGTCCTCGATTGACTTAAGGAATGCTTTCGTCTTCGGGTTCTCGGCGACCTTGCTGATGCGCTCATCAGCCAGAAGAGCCCGCTGCATCTTGGCGAACTGTCGTCGTTTCATACGGCGACGGGCCTCGCCGCCGTCGTCTTCATCGGAGAGGTCGTCCCATTCGCCGCCTTCGCCGCGGGCGCGCTTGCGACGGAGCATTCCTGTGGTGATATCATGGAAAAGCTTCTCGACTTGTTTCTCGTCCGAGGCACGTTCGCGGTCGCTGTCCTTTTCGTTAGCTTAACTCTCATCTCACGGATACAGTGGTGGCTTACGCATAAAAAGCAGCCAACTTCCTCTCATCCCCCTCCCCAGCCTTGGTCTCATCATCAATCATCTCCTTGACCAACTCCTCGTCCTCCTCATCACTGTCGCCCTCGCCATCGATACCACCCAACCCGGCATACTCATCCTCAGACTCCTCAGCCTGTTCCTCCACCATCTCCCTCGCCTTACTCTTCTTCTTGAGCTCTTTCAGCCTCTTCTCCCGTTCAGCAGCTCTCCTCATCTTTTCAAAAGCCGACTTGGCCTTCTCAGCCTCCCGGTCATCAGCAGCATCACCAACATCTTCCATCTCCTGATCAGCATCCTCTTCATCATCATCCATAGTCGAAGCATTAAACAATGCAGACCCGGTAATAACATCCCCCTTCCTCCTTAACCTCCCCAAAGGCCTCTTCTCCGACGGACTGTTCTGCCCAGCACTACCACCAACACTTCCACTTCCGCTTCCACCAGGCGTTGAAGCCGACCTCGACGCAGTCACCGACGCACTACTATTCTTGCCCTGGCCACGACCACTAAGCAAGACAGTCTCAGCCGTCGAATGCGGCGGCCCCAGCAACGGCTGCAGCGGCGCAACATCAACAAACCGCTGCTTCAGCGGCGTATAATCCTTATACCCCTGATCCTGCGTTAGCTCGATGAGTTCCGACCCTTGTGTCGCCGGTTGGTTGTTCAGGTTCAGCAGCAAGCTATCGAAGCCGTGCATCTGCGACTCGGACTGGGAGAAGCCGAGCTGGACGCCGCCTTGGGTTTCCAAGGCCGCTTGGGTCTCCTTGTCTTTGCGGGCAAGGGATGGTTGGCTGTCGAGGATCATATCATCTTCTTGTTCTGGATGCTGCTGCTGCTCCTGGCCGGCAGTTTGCGAGAAATTGGAGTCGGGAATGTCGGTGAGGTCGATGTCGAAGGTTGGACGCGGTTGAGAGGGAGAAGAACCGCCGCCGCCGAATTGGGAGGGTGAGCCGGGTTCTTGGCTGTCGTCCATGGTTCCCGCAAAGATTTGGGTGAGGCCGAGACCGGCGGGTTGGGCGACGGGGACGGGAAGGCCGGGGATGAAGCTCTTGCGTGCGGAACGCAGGACGGAGGTGGGAACGCTGGGAGAGCCAGAGCGGAGGGCTGATGTGGGTGATTTGGGGAAACGCTGCTTTGGTCGGGGAGTTTCTTCGATGCGCTGCTTAGACGATACGACTTGCTCCTGCTCCTGCTCATCTTCGTCCTCGTCATCATCGGAAAGGACAACGACCTGCTTCCGTGGTCGACGACGGATAGTCTTGGTGCTAGGTAGCTCATCCGCATCCTCGTCTTCGTCTTGCTTTTCAGCTTTTTCTTCCGCAGAATCACCAGCGCTCTCATCAAAGAGTGCACCAGCCGGATCAGCCTCAGCCATGTCCTCATCCTCATCCTGATCGGCCCCTTCGCCCTCCACTTCCTCCTCCTCCCCCTCTTCACTCCCCGAAAGCTCAATAGCCTCCGGCCCCTCCCCATACTCAACACCCTTTTCACTCCCCACAAAACTCTCGTCATCATCATCATCATCCTCACTATCATCCCAGCCCAGCGGATCCTCCTCCCCACTTCGCCTTCCTCTTCCTCCTCTCCTCCTTCGCATCCTCCCTCTCCCTTTGCATAATCTCCTCTGCCTCCCTCCTCGCCCTAGCAACGATATCTTCCACCTCCTGCATCTCCTTCGCCCTCTCCTCGGCAGTCATGACCACCACGCCCTTGGCTCTCAACATCTCCAGATGCTCTTCGCGCTCGCGCTTGGCTTGCGCCCTAGCGCGCTGCAGGAGAGTCATCTCGAGCGCGCCGGACGTCATGGCGGGCGGTTGGTGCTTGGAGAGGTGTTGTTTGTTTTTGGGCAGGGGTGGCGCGGGGAGTTTCTCGGGGTCATCGATGTGAGCTAGTTTGCGGAGCATCTGAAGGGGGCGAGGTTCGCGGGTTTGGTTGAGAGGGACGCGGTCAAAGATGGCGTCAATTTTGGATTTGCGGGTTTGTGGCTTGACTTGAAGGAGGTCGTCGTCGTCGCCGTCGTCGTCGAGGGAGATGGTGTTTGCTTGGACGGAGGAGGGCTGTTGAAGTGGGAATTTGACGCGGACGTTGCGTTTCGCTTTCGGGAGAGAAGCGGCAATCTTGGCTTGGTCTTCGGCTTCGAAGTCGGCGGCGGTGGCTTTGCCTTTACCCTTGTCGACCTTCTTCTTTTGGGTGGGAGCCTCCTTCGAAGGTGCGCAGTTCTCCGTCCGAGTTCTCTTCGAGGAGAAGGTCGCGCCGGTTGATGTGGCCAGCTCTTCCACTGTCTTATCGGGCTGCTTGTTTCCCACCGGCGGTGAACTTGGTGGTGTCTCCTTCTCCGGAACCTTCTCTGTATCACTTGGCCTTGACGTCGCCGGCGACTCGGGCCTACTAGACTCCTTCGCTGGCTTCCCTGTAGCTGCCGCCTGGGCAGCAGCAGCAGCAGCAACACCAGGTCTAAAGTTGAACCTCTCGAATAGTGTAGCCTTGGTAATTTTGTTCTTGACCTTCGGTTCGTGTGCCAGTTGTAGCTCTCTTGCCATGCGCTGTGTCTCCCTGTTCATATCCTCGAGCGCCTTCTTGCTAGCTTTTCGTTGTGAAGGCCTTTTTGTAGCTGCTTTTGTTGTGAGCTTTCGCCCGCCTTCGTCGTCGGATATGTCGTCCTCCCCGTCCACAGACATACGGTCGTCAGCTGCCATTGCTGCCCGCCGTTCGGCCTTCTTTCGCTCTTCTTCCGCCTCCCTGGCCTCCCGTTCTTTGCGCTTCTTCTCTACAAGTGCCTGGAAACGAGGGTTCTTCTGGAGGTTGCTGATGCTGGGGAGCTCTTCATCGTCGCTTGCTAGGCTATCTGCAGGACGATCTGATGGTTTTGCTGGCGACCCAAAGAGGCCTGGAGAGTCGGGCGCCTGAGCTGCTTGTTTCTCGGGAGAGACGAAGAGGCCGGGGGAGGCAGCGGTCGGTTCATCTCGTGGCTTGGGTTCAGGTGTCGCGGTGCGCTTTCGGGGTCGTTGCTGTAGCTTTCTCGGTCGCACAGTTACAATCTCGTCGTCTTTGTCGTCATCATCTTGGACGGGGCTCTTGGTCATAGGAGGATTTGTTGGTCGCTTCGGGGTATCATCTCTCATCTCGAGGTCGGATTCGGACTCTGATTCGGGTGCTGGGTTGCTCTTTGACTGCATTCCGGCAGCGAATCTGCCTCTTGGTCGCAAGATCTCCTCATCCACTTCGTCGGAGCTATCAGACATGTTGACATCGGACTGATCAGCGTTAAGGACTGGCGAGGTGGGTGTTGCGCTACGCGATCCGGAAGCGCGTCCTGGCGAAGGAGACGCCGAAGCAGCCATTGTGGCCGCTGGTATATGAGGTATTCGGTATTAGTGTTGATGTTGAGTCTTCTGCATCACGATCTCTTCCCAAAATAGACGCAAGGACTTTGAGAAGGAGAATGAAGAAAAGGGGTATAGAGGTGTTGTGGTGTAAGTGCTATGGTTCAGTTTGTCAAATGGAAAGCGGCTGTCCACTATCTTTTAGTGATAAAGTGGGTTAATCGCCGCGATGTGGTGGGGAAAACGCGTCAAATGACGGCTCATGGCGCGTCGTGCAGATCGTGTTCAGCGCGCTAAAGTGCTTCTCTGCAGGGTTACGGCAGGGTTCACAAAGGGGTTAAATTCCCTAGCATGGACCAAAGTAAACATTTGGCGCCTCTTGTTCCCATTTACCCCTGAATGCTAATCAACAATATCAATGTCACCACACATGCTCTGTGAACCGCCTCCAACACCTGACCCGAACTCTCCATGACATATCGAAAGAAGCTACTAAAGATGATCTAGTTTGATAATGCATCGAGGTTAGTCTAATGTAACCAGATATAACCCCCAAGCGCTTTGCATAACCTTAATCCCATTGCACTAATATACTGCGTAGAGGCAAACTCTCTGCCATACCACTTCCAAGACCGCTTCACTGGTACCCCTTACATGCCATCGAGAGAGACGCGCGGAGAAGACAAAGGGGATTTTGGGTATCGTCGGTAAGAAAAGCAAAATACAAGCAAAATGATAAACGCTCTGTCTCTTTCTCCAGCAAAGGGATCCAGCATCCATCGCTCTCCTCCACATTTCCAATTCCTCAGAGAACCGGATACCAAAAAGTGATATGCCCATGTGTCAGGAAATCAAGCAGTAACCGACCTGTGCTTTTGGGTAGGATAGAACGCCGCCGTAGAGTATGTTGAATGCAGGGTAAAGCCTGCCCAATGATGGTATATAACGCCAGTCGCCCGTTGTGTGGAAAAATGAACCCCCCCTGTTGAAACATTCCACCGTGCCCAAGTATTAGCCCACGGCGAGGCATGTATCCAAAATGCTGTTGAGAAAGTCCCCATCCTCGGGCTCTGCCCCTTCCCAAGGTATATCGTCATCGTCGTTGTCAATGTCCATGGCATCCTCATGGTTAACGCCATTGGGTAATGGTCCATCTGGCTTGCCGTCGGCCACCATTCCACCCATCTTAACATCTCCGTCGGTAATCGGTTGTACTTTTCGCCCGTCGATGTAAGTGTGATCGTCCCAGTTTTCGAGCTCCCCTTCCCTATAGTCGTAGATGACCGACTTGGCGACGATTGGAAAGTTTGCTAGTCCGCAGTCACCCATCTCCAGCGCAATCCGGAAGTCGGCCATACCAAGAGGCCCGCGCTCGCTGGCGGCTTTAGCTTCCACGGGCAACAGGCCGCTCTTGTCGCGTGTTACCTCGCCCCTCTGGAGGGCCTCTTCTTCCTTCTGCAGCTGGCGCCGGTACTTGTGTGTTTGGATCCAAGCATTGCCTGCTCCGAAACCGGCGTTGCCTGAGTCTCCGGGACCGTTGCACCTCGTTCGGCTGAAGATTGAGGACATGACTTGCTTGATGAACGTTTCCGTTGCTATTGACATGAACTGGGCAGCTTCTGGCGCGTGTCCACCTGACAGACCGGCCTCGTAGCAGATGGGAAGCATCTTGGCCTCAATGTTGCTGACATCTGGGAACTCTCCAGACTCGACCGCCAGCGGCTGCGCATATCGTTTCCTGATTTCCAGGTCATAGTCTGTAGAAAGAGACAAAGTCAGTAACTAGTGGATATTCTGTGAATGGTTCAACACTTACTCATCCGGCTGAGACCTCCGGCGGCGCTTGCCGGTACCTCGGCAGTCTTGACGATAGACTTGTTTCTAGAGTGGTCAAGGAACACGCTAGAGAGCGACTCGTAGGGATCGAACTGCATTAAGCGCCGTTAGTACTCGAGTTAACAGAGGTTGGGGTAATGCTTCACATACGTCGTTTTGTGCAAGGTCTTTGATACGCCTCCTGTCCCTGCTGGGGAGTTGCATGACCTCTCCCTTCAACCGCCTTTCTGCAGCATCACCAGACACTGGCTTGTTAGACGTGTTGGCTGAGGGTTTGTCGTTTGCGCTGACCCAAGGCGCAAGGCCCTGGTCGGGCATTTCTCGAGTGACATTTCCGTATATAGCAGCTATGAGCTGGTTGTGAAGGTGTTCCTTGGACCCATCGGGAGAGGCCAATATCGGGTCGATGCGTGCACTAAGCTCGGCTTGGTTGAGACGACCTGAAGGGGATTATCTGTTAGTCCTGGGGCATGGCAAGGGCAGTCGGTCTGGGGGGAGACAAACCAAGGAGAAAGTTGCTAATGGCTTCCTTGTAAACGTTCCATTGTTCCAGGCCAATGTTTGCCCTAAGGGCGGTATAGATAGGTTCAAGATCAATGCGGGCCGGTATTAGTTGGCTGGTCTTTGGCTTTTGTAATGGGGGGACGGAAACGTTTATAGATTTTGTAGCGAGAATAGGAGTCGAGAGGTTGACAGAGGGCCGACTGAGGGCCGCGGGGTTTATGTCGACCATGTTGGTAGGTGTGGCTGTGGCTGTTCACAGAGTGGTTGAAGATATGTCGGTTTGGAGATGTCGTCGAGGTTGAATATCCGGACCGGCACCGGAACCAGAAGAGGAGGGCGGACTCGTTGACCTCGGTGGAGGAGGATCAGAAGGAGGCTGACTCCTGGTGTCCGCCAGAAAAGAGCCTCGCCAGGTCAGACCACTTCTCCAAGCAGCAATGAAGTCCAAGCAGATGATGGTTTCCTTCCTCCCGAACAAGGACTCTTTGGTATGGTATGGGTAGGCAGTGTGTGCCGTCTTGGTATGCGCACTTCAGAAGAAGGGAGGTGGTGGTGGTGCGGCTATGATGCCCCTGCGGCGTATGGCGTCAGACCCAGCCGCGTGCGAAGCAACAGCACAATTGCGACGCGGGAATATGATCATTTGGGCCCGAAACCGGCGGTTATTGTTATGCGATCGCGAATCCGGGCTCAAAATGATGGATTGAGCATCCTGTCGTCGGGAAATGGATGGTGTATTGGACTGACAAAGGTTGGTCGTTGGACGGTTGGAAGTCTGAATCGACACGGATGATCGTTTCTTTGGTGGTAAAGTCACATTCCGGTTGTCGTTGGACTTGGGGGAAGAAGAGGTTCTGGAAAGTGCCCTGAATTGATGCCCTGAATGAGGACCTTGCACGCTAAATACGGGCGGTAAAGGCACCTTTGGAGGCGATTTTGGGGCAATAGTGTGTGTCTGTTACTGAGTACAAAGCAGCCCATACGTTATTTGCCTTGGCGACAAGTGCCTTCCCATCTTCAGCTTAACAATACCGGCGCCCCTCCCGTCCCCAAGTTGGGGTAATGCCTGCCGCCTATAGAGCAATTGTTCAGGGAGCTGGGAGCGCTGGAAGGATAGCTGGAGGTTCAGATGGAAGAGCTCCAACAAAGCAAAGCTCCCGACCAAGACATTTTAAGGAACTCTGAACCAACAAGATCAACACCATCACCGTTTGTCGCGTCTTGTAGCGCGTCCTCTCTTCCGGCCGGCAACACCACAAACCCACCTGCGCTACCACTTTGCATCATTTGTTTTACAAGATCCGAGCAAGCAAGGGAAAGCTGGATAAGGAAGATGTGATGGGCATAATAATACAACTAGACGCCGCCGCCAATTCCACCACCACCCCCAGACAATGCAACAATGGCTAGCCGACAGCAGGATCACCGAGCCCAAAAGATCTCCAGCGCCATCGACAGCCTCATAACCCACCTGATCCCCGAAAACCCCTACGAAGACGACCATACCGCCGAGCTTCGACACGATGACTATGCGTCAGCCGTCAAGGCCCTCCTCGAACAGTAGGGATTGCTCCAGCAACGGCATTGGGCTATGGGCCATAACAAAACAAACAATGGCTAACTCTTTGGTGTTTCTACCCAACCAGACCCTCCTCGCCAAGCTACGATGCGGACGTTAACAATGCCTCCGATTTGATCAAGAGGAAGTTGATCCAAGGAAACCCAACCCAGGCACTGCGCTTCTCCCACCTCTATACCCGACTACTATCCCTCCCCGTTCTCAACCAGAAGTGGGCGATCCTCTACTTTCTATACCAGCTCTCGGACTCGCCAGATCCCAATGAGCCCCTGCCTTTAAGCCCGCTTCCGCAACAACAGCCCCATTTCGACCCTCAGTTCCAGCCTCAGATCCAGGCGCAAACACCTCCACCCCAGCTTCTAAGACCTTCCCAACCGGCAGCATGGCCTGTCGAACCCAGGATCCCAGCATATGAAGAGGTTCAGGATGAGGAGGTGATGGAGGATGCCCCTTCACTAGAGGGATCTCACAATGTTCCCCCGGAAAGGCCAAGACATGGTAGAGACCAAGGTCATACGCCTACCCAGAGTCACCAGGCTGGTCCTGCTTCAAGAGACGAGAAGGAGGTGGCACACGACCCTTCGGAGCCGGCATTATTAAGGGACCTGCCCTTCACCTTGCAAGGCCTCTCGTCGGCAACTCTGCCTTTTCTCAACGACACAACGTTGAAGCTACCACCAACGCTTCCTATTCCTATCATCTCTCTTCTCAACACACTGGCCGAGCCTTCACTGCTCTACAGAGGGCTCAATGAGTTTACCAAGACGCCGGCAAACGGCCTATTGGGGCAAAGTCTACGAGCTGCCATCAGCAAGGAGCTTCGGTCATATCTGACCTTGGTGGCTACCCTGGAGACGCAGATTCGCCGTGCTCTCTCTGAGCTCGATGAGTCTGCTCCCCGTGGCGGCATTGGGAAAACCGGTGTTACGCTCAAGCGATGTGTGGTATGGACACGAGAGGCAACCATGGGCTTACGCCTCATGTCTCTGATCGCGGAAGAGAGCAAAAATAAGCATGGTGGACAGTTGATCACTCTGATTCACAGCTTTTCGTCGTCACACGGCGACCCTGTTGTGGCTGCTTTCGCTGAACGGTTGCTTGTTGATGTGACTCGCCCGTTCTACGATATCCTACGCCGCTGGATTTATGATGGAGAGCTCCTTGATCCTCATATGGAATTCTTTGTTCGGGAACAGAACCCTCATGACGAGGAGAGGAAAGACGCCAAAGCTAAGGGCCAAATGAGTGTCTGGAACTCCAAGTATGAGCTTGTTGAGAACATGATTCCGACCATTATAACGGAAAACTTCTCCAAAAAGGTTTTCCTCATCGGAAAGTCCCTTAACTTCATCCGCCACAGCTGCGGTGATCACAAATGGGTGGAAGAGTACAGTAAAAAGGCATCCAGGGAGCTCAAGTATGGCGACACAACTACCCTGGAAGCCTGGATCGACGAGGCCCATAGGGAGACCATGAGCCACCTTATGCATCTTCTAAACGATCAGTTCCGTGTCTTCGATCATCTCGAGGCGCTGAAGCGTTACATCCTGTTGGGCCAGGGTGATTTCATTGCTCTGTTGATGGAGTCATTGGCCCCTAACCTGGACCGACCAGCGGGTGCCCAATATCGACACACTCTCACTGCGCAGCTTGAGCATGCTATTCGAGGCTCAAACGCTCAATATGACGATCCGGAAATCACGAATCGCCTGGATGCACGCATGCTTCAGCTCAGCCATGGCGATATCGGCTGGGACTGCTTCACGCTCGAGTACAAGATTGACGCACCCGTGGACGTCGTTGTCACCGAATGGGGGAACCGACAGTACCTCAAGGTGTTCAACTTCCTCTGGCGTATCAAGCGTGTTGAATTTGCCCTTGCCTCTACGTGGCGCAAGTGCATGACTGGCGCGCGCGGCGTTCTCCAGACGTCGGACGAGAAGGTGCTTCAAACTTGGAAAAGCACCAGGGGTGTTCTCGCCGAGATGGTCCATTTCGTCGGCCAACTACAGTACTACATCCTCTTCGAGGTTATCGAAAGCAGCTGGACTGAACTCCAGAAAAACATCCATAAGGAGAACTGCACGCTCGACGACCTAATAACCGCCCACACCAAATACCTCACCTCCATCACACACAAGGGCCTCCTAGGCGCCAAACGGCGGCAGTACCCGCAGACAGGCTCGGACCCTACCGGCGCACCACCCTCCACCACAGACGAAGACCGCAACTCCTACATGGTCCAACTCAGCGAGCTCCTCCGGACCATGCTCGCCTACAGAGACAGCGTGGATGGTCTCTACAGCTGGTCCGTCTCCGACTTTACGAGACGTCAGGAGAAGGAGACGGCCGGACTCATTTACTCGCACCGCGGCGGCACCCGAAACACTACCACGACGCGCGACCGAGCAGATTCCCAAGCTGCATCCATGGCTGACTCGATGGACCTCGATCCGCCATACGACTACAACGACTCCTCGGCCACTGGCGGTGACGCAGGGGCAGTTAAGAGTGAGTTCCCGGCGCTGCAGGACCGGTTGAAACAGCTAGGAGCCAACTTTAAGACGAGGTTGCAGATCCTATTGGGAGATTTGGCGTACCAACCAGATGTCGATATGCGGTTTTTGGGCGTGTCGATGAATTTCAATGATGTTTATCAGCCGGTGAGGAGGAAGACGAAGAGCTCGTCGTCTAGTGCTACTGCTGTTCCCAGTGGCGGTGGGGCTACCTCTGTGGCTTCTGGGGCTTCTGGGTCTGGGAGTCAGGGGCAAGCTCAGGCTGGGCAGGCTGGGGGGGGTATGGGTAAGGGGGTG